ACACGCCCACACGGAAGCAGACCCAAACTCTGACCCTCAGGGCAAGGGCGAAATCTGGAGAGGAGAAGAAATGAGGAAGAAAGAAGGAGGGAAGGAGAGAGGGAGCGTGTGACTGCTCAGACAGACAGACAGGTGGGAACCCACACACTGGGCATGAATTCTGGGGGCCACCCGCAAACCCAGAAGACGACATGGCAGAAGGAAAGTCCCGGGCTCTCGGGGCAGGGGGGGATTCCTGATGCAATCCCGTGCCCATTCCTGCGGTGTAAATGCTACCCCTGTGCCAGGTGCAAGCTGCCAGGGTGCTCTGCTGAGCAGAGCCGGGAAGAGATGCCCACAGCCGGTTCTTGCCCTGGGTGCAAGCCGGCTCCAGCACTCTGGTGGCCGTGCAGCCACGTGCTCAGGGAAAGGAGGGGGCCAAAAACCCACAGGCAGACCCTGCACACAGCAAATGGCATTTATATTTTAAAACACTCCCAAAAGCAGCTCTAGCAGGATGAAAAGCTAGATGCTGACAGTACGTCTGGGTCACACAGAACTGGCCATGGTGGCTTTTCTTGGTGGGGGGGGGCTGGCATGGGGAGGGGGCAAAGAGACCTCAGTCTCCTCTGTCATGCTTTAATTTTGTGCAGAGAGAAGTTCTTTGTGTATCACATGTACTATTACAAAAAGAATATTTTAAATCAGAAGAAGGAGAAAATGGAGGGGACAAAAGGGACCGTGAGAGGGAGGAGGAGGAGGAGGAGGAGGAAGAGCTCTCCAGATCCCCAGGCCGTCCATCTACCCATCCTCCCCTCCAGCCACAGACATTCCTGCTCCCCACTCTGTGCTGATGCACATCCTGCCCTCGAGGGGGTGGGGAAGATGCCCAAACGCACCTATACCGGGTGCTCAGGGCACGGGAGCCCTCGCCCTGATAGGATGGCCCGGGAAAGGCGGCAGAGACCTCTCTAAGGATCACACAGGGCCTCCCCTGAGCCGGCCCAGCAGAGCTGCAGGGGTGGGACCTGCAGGAGTGGGAGGGGAGGGCTAGGCGTGGTCGGCATGAGGGTGGCCACCCAGGTCCAGAAGGAGACTCCCTGGTGGGGGAGACAGCGGGGAGAGGGAGGATGGGGCCCCGGGAGCAGAGACACAGAGGGGCGGCTGGAAGCAGCAGAGACTGCAAAGGAAACAGGAGGGGTGACCCAAGGGATGGGAGTCCAGGAAAGAAAGGGGGTCCGGAAACCAGGATTGACCCCAGCGTCAGACGCCCCGTGGAGAGAAATGGGCCATGGGGTTTGGAGGCCTGTCCAAGCCCCGGGAGAAAGGGCGCAGGGCCACCCCTGTCGTGAGCAGGGAGGGAGGGACATGGCCAGATTGAAAGGGCTGTGATGGAGAGGAAGGACAGCAGGGTGATGGGAACCAAGGTCAAGGGAGATTGGCCCCCTCAGGTGGGCAGGAGGTGAGCATGCCCACCCTCTGAGAGAGCCCGGGGGAGGGAGGATGGATGGGCAGCCGTTGCCAGGGCAACCGCACTGACCAGGAGCGCAGAGGGGATCAAAGGAGGTGGAGAGGGAGGCCGCAGGAAGAGCCAGCCCCAGGTGGAAGTGGCAGGCGGGCGGAGGGCATGGCCTTATCTGTGTTTCAGTCCTGGATTTGGGAAAATGGGAAGCATGGAGCAGGTGGAGGATTCAGTCCTCAGTGGGGTCTGGAGTGGACCCAGAGGTGTAGGGCATCCCGCTGTCACACATGCAGCCACACACGCTCAGAGTGACATAAAAACATGGGATGTGCTCATCGCCCCGTATTCTCAGTGCAGGTAACGGGTCTGCTGACCCATGGAACCGGCTCCACCGGGATGCAGGCTGGGCTGTGGGATCTGTGTCCTTGGCAAAAGACCCAGTAGGTGTTCAGGGTGTCCTTGTTGCGTAGATGGATGGATGGGTGAGTGGGTGGGTGGATGGGTGGGTAGATCAATGGATGGATGGATGGAGGATGGATGGACAGACAGATGGAGAAGGATGGGTGATTGACGATGGATGGATGGATGGATGAACAGAGAGATGGATGGACGGACGGACGGATGGATTAACTCAAGGAGTAAGAATAAAATAAGATAAAGGAGCCGGAAAGAGAAAGGCGCCTGTGCGATTACTTTGCTGGTCATCATGGTGATAGCCGAGATTACTTCTGGGAAAGGGGGTGGGAACGTGGATCAGGGAAATCAATGAGACTTTCTGGGCTTTAGAGCAAAACTCCACAAGCCCCCAGAAGAGAGAGCGCTGCAGGGGAAAGGCAGCCAGCACACGTTCCACACACTCTCAAACACACACACACTGCAGGAATGACGCACAGCCTCAGAGCAAAATTCAATCATTCTCCTCTGGAGAGAGGGAAGACGCAGAGATGAGCAAGGCCAAGTCAGACACAGGAAGAGAAGGGGGCGTAGCAATAAGAAAGCTGAAAACAAGAGCGGGCAGCGGACATGCAGATAGGGGCTGGGGGGAGCGGGCAGCGGAGACCCAGCTTGGGCTAACAGGTGCCCCGACCCCTCCAACAGGTGCCCCCCACACGGGGCGCCCATGCACACTGGTTGGCGGGATGGGTGTGTAGATGGGGTGGATCAATGGAGTAACCCAGAGTCTGGAAATAAAACCTGATAACAGGCCCAGACAGAGAACATTCTAGATGTCTTCTGCCTGCTGCTCCAGCTCCCCTGTGCACCCCTCTCCTCTGCTGCAGGGAGCTGACCACACCGGCCACCCTCAGGGCCTCCCCTGCCCTCTGGCTTCCTCTTGGGCTTGGTCCATGGGATGCCCTGGCAGGAGGCAGGTGCAGGAGGAGAGTGAGACAAGGATGTTCATTCCCCCGGGTCACCTCAGGCCGGTGGCCTCTCCACTGAAGACCCCAGCTCCTCTCACGGCAGCCCCTCTCTGTGGCTATCCATCCCCTGGGCCTGCTCGTCCTCCCGCCCGCACCCCTTAGGGAGGGGGATGGTCACAACCTCCCCAACGTTAGCTCTGGGTTTCTGCAAAATCTGTCAGCCTCTCTCTACTCCCACGTCTCGCAATATAGCACCTTTGTAAATAAACTGCTCAGATTTTCCTAAATTTGAGTGTTCTCTCTCTTCCTGTTGGGACCCTGGCTAACACATACACCCACAGTGAGAAAAAAACAGACAACACACACACACACAGAATGACGGCACGGCCACATGTAGAAAGAACAGGGACAGATGACAAGCTGGGAGGGAGTGAGGAAGGCAGGAGGGACAGAGAGTGACCCGGAGCCTGGGAGGTGGAAGTGAGCACCCACAGACAAGGAAGAGGAAGCAGAGGCACAAATGTTTGTGGCTGCCTCGTTTTAGTGGCAAAAAAGCTGAAATCTGTCCTCTGGAACGCCACGCAGCTGACAAAAAGCCAGTGCACACCTGTGTGCATCGAGAGAGAAAGAGACCCCCAAGACTGCCGAGCCCCCCCCCCCCGCTGCAGGACCACGCCCGTAGCTCGGCGTAATTCCTGCAGGAGAAAACACCCTAAGCCAAAACCTACCAAAGAGCACTTTAGATTTCTATAGGGCAGAAAAAATATATATTGATGTTTAAAAATAAGTATATAATGTAGAATGGGACCTGCTCAAGCAGCAGTCCCCAACCTTTTTGGCACCAGGGACAAGTTTCAAGGAAGACAGTTTTTCCACAGGTGAGTGATGGCTGTAAATGCAGGCGAAGCTTCACCCACTCACCCCGCTCACCTCCTGCTGTGCGGCCCGGGTCCTAACAGGCCAGTCTAGCGGGCTTGGGGACCGCAGTGCTAAAGTAAAAACTGGTTCCCCGCAAAGGAAGTGGCTGGAGAACAGGATGGGAGGAGAGTCAAAGCGGACCCTGCAGTCTTATCTGTAATACTTTGCTTTTTATGCAAAGATGATGTGCTCATGTGTCACGTAAGTGATTAAACATTAAGTTTTTTTTTTTTTTTTTTTTTTTTTGAGACAGAGTCTCGCTTTGTTGTCCAGGCTAGAGTGAGTGCCGTGGCGTCAGCCTAGCTCACAGCAACCTCAAACTCCTGGGCTCCAGTGATCCTTCTGCTTCAGCCTCCCGAGTAGCTGGGACTACAGGCATGCGCCACCATGCCCGGCTAATTTTTTATATATATATATCAGTTGGCCAATTAATTTCTTTCTATTTATAGTAGAGACGGGGTCTCGCTTTTGCTCAGGCTGGTTTTGAACTCCTGACCTTGAGCAATCCGCCCGCCTCGGCCTCCCAAGTGCTAGGATTACAGGCGTGAGCCACAGCGCCCGGCCTAAACATTAAGTTTTAAAAGAGAGGAGGCAGCAAAGGGAGAAAGAGAACCAGAGGGTTGAAGGAAGAGAAGAGGCCACCCAGACAGACACAGCTCCATCCGTCTGTCCATCCATCTCCCCTCCAGCTGCAAATGTTGGCCACATCAGACACACAGACAGACCCTGTCCCAAGAAGTGCACAGAGAGACTTCCAAACCTAGCAGGGCCTGCGGGCCCCAGGTACCCTGGGATCCTCTCTAGGGGAAGGGCCAGCAGAGCTGTGGGTGGGGAGGACACAGGGAGGAGCCCCATGGATGGGGGGTGTCCTTGCTCAGCAGGAAGGGTCTGGGCCACAGACACAGTCAGCGCGGCCAAGACGAATGGCCCCGTGCCCCGGGAGGGATGGAAGTGGCCCGGAGAAAGCAGGCAGGGGGTGGCTGGGGCGCACTGAGACCTGCAGGGCATGGGGCCAGGGAACCTGCCGAAGGAAACAGAGAGACTAGGTGGTCTGAGCAGTGGGAGGAAGACAGAACCCTCACTGTCCCTGGAGCTGAGGGAGGAGCTGGGGTCCAGGTGCCGTCCCCAGGGTCAGGGTCCCTAAGGAACGAGGGCAGGGAGGGGAGAAGAGAGCTGATTCTGTTTGGCAAGCAGATCAGTGCAGGACTCAGCTGAGCCCCAGGTGGGCTCAGGGTCTGCAGCAGGGGGCCTCAGAGGGGTTGGGGAGGAGAGGGTCAGAGATGAAAGTCCCCCCCAGGCTCTTCCATGGACTGAAGGAGGTAGACAGGGACAGAAGGTCAGTGGGGGGAGTGAGTTCACCTCCGAAAATCCCAGGAGAGGGGACAAGGTGTTGCCAGGGCCGTGCACTGATGGGTGCTGGAGAAGAGTCGGGAGGGTGGGGTGGGCGCGGCTTGGAGGAGGAATCAGTAAAACTGACAGGTGGGGGCGGGCGCAGGAAGGGGGCGCCTGGACTTCCATGCAGAGATGGGGAGGGCAGAGCAGGGATCGGGAAGTCACAGATTTCCTCCCAGACTTACAGAGTTTGTGACGCCGTGGGACGTCCTGGAGCGATGAGAAGGCACACATACGTGGGCCCCAGGTGGGCACAGGAGGGCCTGCTGGACACAGGTGAGCGAAGGGGTCTTGGAAGCCCACACGTGGGTGGCATGGCCCGGGGAGAGCCTGTGGGTGCAGAGGAGCAGGGAAGAGGACACTTCTCAGGACCGGCTGATCCTGGAGGGCTGAGGAGGGAGCAGGTGTGTGTGGGGGGGTTAACAGGAAGACAACACACACACACACATACACACACACACCCTGAGTGTGATGCTCAGAGATCATCCGCCCGTCCTACGAGATGATAACTGCTCTGTCTTCCGCTGGACTCTGAGTTGCTTCAGGACACAGCCCAGGTCTCTGGGCTCCGTCCTCAGCAGGACGTGCAGTAGGTGTTCGACTTGTGTTCGCTGCGTTTCTGCTGGAGGATGGGTGGGTGGGTGAGTTGATGGGTGTGTGGGTTGGTGGGTGGGTGGGTTGGTTGGTGGGTGTGTTGGTTGGTGGGTGGGTAGGCAGATGAGCTGGTAGGTGGATGGGTGGGTACGTGGGTGGATGGATGGGTACGTGGGTGCATGGGTGGGTAGAAGGAAAGACAGATGGACAGATAGGCAGGCAGATGAAGTAGGACAGGAAAGGCGGGCACCGACCCTGATCATGTATGTACACACACACACACACGCACACACACGGCAAAACACAGAGAGAAAGTAAAACTCCACAAGCCTCAGGAACAAGAGAGAAAGCTAGGGGGCGGCTGCAGCTACACACACACACACACACACACACATGGACGTGGAAGTTTGCAGTAATCAGCTAGTAGGCCATCCAAGATTTATGTTAAGGGATTATCTTTCTTAATTATAGTGACAGCAGAGCAGGGCTCCGCGCTGTTGTCTCAGCTTGTGTTCTGATCCTGACCTTTTCGAGCTCACATTACTTCCCCTTCAGGAGACTTGCGGTCCGTTGTGCTATCCACAAGTGCTAGGATTTGAGATCAGCGCTGCGAGCCCTGTCAGCGCGCCGGCCTAGTCTGAGAACATCTATGCGCGCCTCTTACTTAGAAAAGGTGCAGAACGGAGGCGAGTCCAAAGGGAGAAGAGACACAGAGGGTGGAAGGAAGAGAGAGCCACCAGACCGACAGACACAGCTCCATCCGTCTGTCCATCCATCTCCCCTCCAGCTGCAAATGTTTGGCCACATCAGACACACAGACAGACCCTGTCCCAAGAAAGTGCAAGAGACTCGTCCAAACCTAGCAGAGGCCTGCGGGCCCCATGGGGGTACCTGGGATGCCTCTCTAGGGGAAGGGCCAGCAGAGCTGTGGGTGGGGAGGAGCACAGGGGGAGCCCCATGGGATGGGGCGTCCTTGCTCAGCAGGAAGGTCTGGGCCACAGACACAGTCAGTGCAGCCAAGATGAATGGCCCCCGTGCCCCGGGGAGGGGTGGAAGTGGCCTGGAGAAAGCCAGGCCAGAGAAGTAGGGGTGGTGCTAGAAAGGGAGTGGCGACAGACCGTGGAGCAACATCACTCCCTTAAAGACTATGGCTACGCAGGGCATAGTCGGAGCTGTGCACGCGCCAAGGATGGAAGACTCTGAGACGCAAGGACCATGAAGAGAGACTTTCTTTGTAGGCTGTGTTGTGACAGCGCTGTTGTGGAGGAACACGCACATGTAGACCTGACACGACACTCATCTTGGGTCACACGCCTCCTTCACATGCGGATTGCTGACGGGAGGAGTCGCGGCGGGTGCCAGCGTTGGGTGCACGGTCCACGCTACGACGCCAGTGTCCAGGGTCCTAGATATGCCGCCAGCCGTCGGAAATCTTGATGTCAGGGGCCTTGGTGAACCCCGAAAAGGTGAACTCTCTAGAGGGGTCTAGACTGTGTGGCAAGTGGGGTGAGAAGACCGGAGGAAGCCCGCGGATCTGAGATTGGACTGTTTGCGCACTCGAGAATGAGTCTAGGATCCAGTGCCAGGGACTACAGCTCAGATGGAAGACAAACGGAACAAGCTTCGCTTGTAGTGCCCGCAGTGGGCTCAGGGTCTGCCAGCAGGGGGCCTCAGAGGGGTTGGGGAGGAGAGGGTCAGAGATGAAAGTCCCCCCAGGCCTCTTCCATGGACTGAAGGAGGTAGACAGGGACAGAAGGTCAGTGGGGGAGTGAGTTCACCTCTCGAAATCCCCAGGAGAGGGGACAAGGTGTTTGCCAGGGCGTGCACTGATGGGTGCTGGAGAAGAGTCGGGAGGGTGGGGTGGGCGCGGCTTGGAGGAGGAATCAGTAAAACTGACAGGTGGCGGGCGGGCGCAGGAAGGGGGCCGCCTGGACTTCCATGCAGAGATGGGGAGGGCAGAGCAGGGATCGGAAGTCACAGATTTCTCCCCAGACTTACAGAGTTTGTGACGCCGTGGGACGTCCTGGAGCGATGAGAAGGCACACATACGTGGGCCCAGGTGGGCACAGGAGGGCCTGCTGGACCACAGGTGAGCGAAGGGGTCTTGGAGCCCACACGTGGGTGGCATGGCCCGGGGAGAGCCTGTGGGTGCAGAGGAGCAGGGAAGAGGACACTTCTCAGGACCCGGCTGATCCTGGAGGGCTGAGGAGGGAGCAGGTGTGTGTGGGGGGGTTAACAGGAAGACAACACACACACACACATAACCACACCACACCTGAGTGTGATGCTCAGAGATCATCCGCCCGTCCTACGCAGAGATGATAACTGCTCTGTCTTCCGCTGGACTCTGAGTTGCTTCAGGACACAGCCCAGGTCTCTGGGCTCCGTCCTCAGCAGGACGTGCAGTAGGTGTTCGACTTGTGTTCGCTGCGTTTCTGCTGGAGGATGGGTGGGTGGGTGAGTTGATGGGTGTATGAGTTGATGGGTGGGTGGGTGAGTTGATGGGTGTATGAGTTGATGGGTGGGTGGGTGGGTGGGTGGCGGTGAGTATGGTGTACTGGGAGTGTCTGGTGGAGTTGATGGGGTGGGTGGTGGGTGAGTTGAATGGGTTATGAGTTGATGGGTGGGTAAGCAGATAGGCTGGTAATGAATCGGGTGGGTGGGTGGCATGGTGGGTGGGTGAGTTGGTGGTGGTGAGTTGATGGGGGGTGGTAGGCAGATGAGCTGGTTAGGCGGATAGGTGGGTACGTGGGTGGATGGATAGGTACGCTGGGTGCACTGGTGGGTAGAAGGAAAGACCAGATGGACAGATAGGCAGGCAGTATGAAAGTAGGACAGGAAGGCGGGCACCGACCCGTGATCATGTATGTACAACACACACACACACGCAACACACGGCAAACACAGAGAGAAAGTAAAATCCACAAGCCTCAGGAACAAGAGAGAAAGCTACCGGGGGCGGCTGCAGCTACACACACACACACCACACACACACACAGCAGCAGTGATGCAATGACGCACAAACAGGCAAAATTCAAAAGCCTGCTCTGAAGAGCGGGAGGGGTGAGGCTGGGGAGCGGAAGACAGGCAGCAAGGTGGGCGGTGGTCAAAGGAAGTTTAGAAAGTCAAGGAAGGGAGTGAAGCCCAGGGGTTGGGAGGGGGGCGCAGACAGGTGGAGGCGCAGCCCACAGCCAGGCCCTGGCTCGGGGGCCACTCACCGTGTGTGTCGGTGGCGGGGAGGGTGGTGGAGGAGGGACGGAGCTTGAGAAAGGTCCAGAGGGACGAGGCCCCAGGGTGACCCAGGGCTTGATGACTCCCCCTGACCCTTGAGCTCCACCGGATGCCCCACTCCCACCCAGAGGCTGAACTATGTGGCTGAAGCAATGACCCCCCAGTTTCCCTGCTCCCACCTGGCCTTGGCCAGGGGTCCCACCCCCGCAGGAGATGGGAGGAGGAGGGAGGGCTCCCCAGAGCTCAGGCCACTGCGTCGCTCTGCTCTCAGCAGCCCTCACTCCACAATTCTGGAAACGTCCCCACCTTGTTCCAGGGACCGTTGGTGATGACAAGGTTGCTGTCCCCTGGGTCCTGCGCCCACACCTCGTCGTGCCCTTGTACAGACGCCCCCTCCTGGGTCTCCTGAGTCTGGGGGAGACACCTATTTCCTGCTGGGACCTGACTGAGGCTCGGGCAGGGGCGGGTCAGCGGGGACCGAGGCACAGACGGAGGCCTTTGTGTGTCCACAAATGCAGTAGGTCCTTCCAGCATGGTGCTTTCAGAGAGGAAAGAGGCAGCACGCGGGGTGAGACAGCAAGATCCACAGGCACCTTCTGTCCATCCCGCCTCGCCCTCACAGCCGAGCAGGACCCTGAGAGGAGCCTGCAGCCTGGCAGGGACAGAGACAGCCACATCCTGGCCCTTGGTGCTCCCAGAGGAGTGCTCACTGGGCCCGAAAGGCCCAAGGGTGGGGTCAGCTGGGGCTTCTCTGGGGAGGACACCAGAGAGAGGCTGGAGCCAGGGCCAGAGAGGACCTGGCCAAGGGGAGGACGGGGCCTGGGAGTGGGCAGGCAGGGAGGCAGGGCAGCCGTGGTGTGCCGCCAGGTCCATGCAGGCTGGCGGGGAGAAATGCGAAGGAAAGAGAGGAGCCCGCCTGAGAGGCAGAGGGGACTCGGAGCCCTGGCTGTCGGGAGCGAGGGAGGAGCTCCTTCCGCAGCCGCACCCGCCCAGCATGCCAAGGGGCAGAGGAGAGCCGGCTGCAGGCTGTCCAAGGGCGGCGGGGCAGCCTCGTGGGTGCTCAGGGGCCCGTGGCAGAGGGGAAGGGAGAGGGACAGCAGAGCCCAATACTCCCCTACAGAGGGACAGTGCAAGGTGGGAAGAGCAAGGGGAGGTGGGAGTGCCACTGGGGGACCTGGGAGGAGCGAGGAGGGAGAGTAGACCTGGTGGGTCTGGAGTTTGAGCCAGAGGGGAGGCAGAGGGGGCAGTGAGGCGAGCCAGCCACCTGTGGCGGGGCCTTTGGACTCCTGGGGGTGACGAGGAGGCAGAAGGGGAGGCACAGCTGCAGGAGGCGTCTGTGCTGGAGAGTAGGAGGGCGAGGGGCCGGAGAAGTGGCTGGTAGTGACCCACACACACACACACATGCACACACACACGCACACGAGCTCTGATGCACAGTGAGAGACCTGGGT